GGCGAGGCGGAGGCACCGGCGGAGGCACAGAGGAAGCTTTAGGGATGTGGAAAAAATGCCGGTGCTTCCCCATGGACTGCAACAGGCGAAGCAGCGGACACGGTCAGAGCTTTGCTCCTGGGCATCGCCCCACCCTTTATTAGAATAGTCAGCTCTCTGGCGAGACCTCAGTTGTTTACTCAGAAAAAGAAAAAAAAATGCATTTTTTCTTTTTTCCTTTAGCAATAAATATTATATAGGGAAGACTGACCAAGATAAACTGTCTCTTGGCATAGTAAAGCGTCCCCTTTGTCTAAAACTTGGCGCTATTGCCCTCTGTTGAGTAGAAGCACAAAAGGTCCATGGCTACCCACCAGAAGGCCGCAGCAGGAGAGCGCCTACATCACCCCATCACATCGACATCACTGCATTGCGTCAGAGGACTGGGATTTTTACTCCCAGCTCCACACTGGTGTCCGAGCACTGCACGAGTAAGGACGGGGTCCCTTCTGCAGACGAAGCACAGATTCTCTGACCCACCCTAACATCTGGTCTCTGACATCCGCACGCAGACACCCCAGACTGCTGAAAATGAGGATGCTCCCACAAGAACTGAAAACGCTGGTACTTGTCCCAAGTGTCCTATGGCCATTTCTTCCACCCACACAGCTTTCATATCTCACAAAACAACACCCAGGACTTGGATTTTTGCCATTGCTTCTTTATTTTCAGAAAAACATACAAATTAGTTCTAAATAAACTCCTGTCCCCTCCCTTGAAAAGACTGTTAAATTAGACTACCCACACAAAATGTGCATATACTCTATTTTCCCCTAAAGATGCAAGAGACACACAGATACAGCGCTTTGATAATTCTCTGCAATTCGTGTGAGCGAGAACAACTGAAGTAACTGCGTACTCTTGTTACACCAATCCAAAACTGCAGCTGGTGGTACATAAAAAAGTGGCAAGTTTTGCCTGTGCCCTGCTCACAGTCTTTTTTTTCTTCTGTTTTTCAAACTACCGAAGAACAATATTGCAAAAAGGCACAACAAAGGGATGCATCTGTTTCCACTGCAACCCTGCAGACGTTCAGTCTCACCCTTCCTAGGAACCGGCCGAGAGACGAGGCTGTTCCAGGTACGCCAGGTACCTACTTGCACTCTTTGGGAGACAGCAATTTGCAGACCAGCACAAGTGACGTTCCAGTTAAAAAAAATAAATAAATAAGAAAAAAGAACAAAAGGGGTATTTGACATTTCAAAGACAGACCCAAGGTAAGCCGGTACTGGAGCCCAAAGAAAAGGCATATTACAAATGTGTTGAGTCCCCGTGACGCGTGGAACCAGAACGGACAAATCGTTACATGGAAAACGCAGCTTGTCCCCACAGATCACAAGCAAAGCAGCTTTACCCAAGCAAATGGAGTGAATGAGGGCTTGGCAACAGCCAGTATGATCACATCCCTGAGCAGCCCTATTGATGTCATACGCTTTATTCTTTTTTGAGTTTCTATTTGAAGGACACAGTCCTATCACAGCCCATGTGAACTAACCACACTATATTAGATGGGAACACTGCATGTGTAGAACAGCTTCCTCCCCACCCTTTCAGACACCTAACCTGCTTTAGCTCAACTCCTCCAAAAATCTATATAAATTGCTACACTATGAAAACAGACGCTGTTGAAACTGGAAGTTACCTCTCCCAGAGAAGTTATTTTAGAAGCACTTAGGATATAATTTAAAAACAACTGATATTCCCCACCACCACTACCAACACACAGTAGTAATGGAATAAATCCACTTTCCTTCACAGTAAAGAACAAGTTTTCCCTTCGGAGGTGCTCTAGTTTCTTAATACCGGTATTTAAAGAGGCAATTAAGTCTCGTGTTGTCACTTTTCCCCAACAGGAAAAAAAGAGATGGGAAGATGCAAGGCTATATGGAAGAAAAAACAAGTAACAGATGACAGTAGTAGATGCGTGGTTCTTGACAATGTCAAGCTCCAAACTTCTAATGGAAAACCAAAGTATAAGTGAGGCAGGGTTGGGGGAGGCAGAGGGGTAAGAAGCACTGGTGTCAGAGCAGAAGACACAAACATTTGATGAATCAAGGACCTTTAAAAGGAAGTCCAATCTCTAAACCACATCTTCATATTCATTTTCCTGAGTCTTCCTCAAGTTGGCCTCATTAGCTGTTGTGAATGGTGTGCCAACTCCAAAGCTGAGAGTGCAGAGACAATAGTCAGAAAAGCCAAAAGTACATGCTGAGGAATAACACAAGGAATAACAGAAAAAGGGTGAACAAAGATGACACCAAACACGCAGGCAGCTGGATAACCCCTCCAAGAAACCACTGCCAGCCCCTGAGGCTTAGACACAAGCAGTGAAGCCCTTGTCCAAGCAGGCATCCCCATTACCGGCCCTTGGATGTTCCAAAATCTGACAGTGAACATAGACACGCAGGAGAAAGATGTTTGATGAGGTAAAAGATAGTAGCACCTCCCTTCTAGAAATAGTAAAAAAAGGCACTTTTTTCCCTTGATGCAGACATTTAAAACCTTTTTCTCCCTTTTTTGACCAATAAAACCTGCTAAGGATGCAAGCACAATCATAAAAAATACCGAGTCTGCTCGGAAGGCGCGAAAGAGCTCTTAGGTTTTTATTTCCTCATATACAAGCCTGTTAAACATCAGTAACTGTTAAAAATTGGAATCTGACACCAGCTCCCCTTCTTCCCTCCTCAGTATAGATTTATCACACGCACGGACTACATACTATGTTCCCCCTTTACGGATTAACTGTTAAAAAGGGTGATTGTTCTAAGCCATGGAGATTTGTAAGGTCCAGCTCTCATAGAAAAGCCATTTTCCTCTAAGGTTCTTGCCCCATTTGCAAGGCAAAGCTCTACTGCTCCTGTACATTCATTACAAAACACAAAATAGTCTTTTAGGGTGAGCTTAAAAACCCTGCAGCTGTTGGTCCCAGACCCACAGGTCAGTTCTTGGCTGTTCGGAGCTTCCTGCGGAAATAGTCAGGGGCGGCATCATACAGCCAGTCTGGGTCCACCACGCACAGGTCCCGCATGTAGCACTTGTTGGTATGAAGCAGCCCGTTGTAAACCACGCAGGCTGGCTTGCAGTGGAAGAGCACGGAGGAGGGGTGGATGGCCACCAACTGGTGAGAGTCCACGGTGCTGTAGGTGCCGTCTGGCTGCAGCTCCGCGGCGTTCATGAAGAGGCTGTGAGCCAGGCAGCGGCGGATGTTTCCAGTGTCTGAGCGGGAGGACTCGATAGGCATCGATAGCTGTTCAGCAGAGACAAGAGTAAGCAAGCATGTATATGGATCCTCCTGGGGAAACACAGCCCCATTTTAGCGGCCTTCCCAGGGCAGGTAGCATTGTGTCAGAAATCCTGCTAGTGTGGGCAATATAGAAGGAACGCTGGGAATTCAGTTCAAGTAGATGTTAGGCTAAACCAGACTAATAGCAAACAAAAGATAAGCCACAAAATAGATGGAGACTCTCCTGGGAGTGAGTTTCAGGCCAACTAGCATTTGCAGCAGGAGGAGGGGTGCCAGATGGTGGCTCCCGTGTCATGTACAGGCTGCAACCAATTCAGCAGCAGCTCCCACGCTGGCAGGAACAGTGCTGATGTGAAAGCTGCTGTTAAATTGGATGTCTGACTCCGTGAAGAAGTCAGTCAGCACAGGCTGCTGAGCCTGACATCACTCAGTGGCACACAGCACAGTCACATCTACACTAGAGCAGCAAAATCCCTTAGGAAAAACTGTCCTGTACCAGAGAAGCCTTCCCAGAGCTCCCCTTCTCTCTTCACCTCTCCTTTACTCACTGATCCCTGCAGCTCTGAGATTTTGGGATGCAGCTGCAGAGTCAGGAATTTACCTGACTATAGGAGACTGAAAACAAAACCACATTTTCCTCACTCCTGGGACTTGGTTCACAATGAAATCAGTTTAGGGACAAACAGAAAAATACAAACAGGTGAAACCGAGAAATACAGTGTGGCAACAAGTTACCTTTACACAAATGTCCCTGAGCTGAGCTCTGACGTCTGACACAAGCAGCATATTCCTGTTGTTGACAAAGTTCTCTTTGCACCATTCCTGCAGCAGAGACACTGGGAGTTAGAAGGGGACGTTTTTTCACTCATAAATCACAACAGTCCTTGGATACCATGAAAAGCAGAATCCTCCAAACACACAATCTTTCTCAGAGAAAAGGTGCTAACCTATCTCCTTGTCATATTTCTACCCCGATTATCCTCCTCTGTCTACATTCCCTCCCACAGTGCCGAGAAACGGCATGTTGTTCCGGAATTGCTCTGCAAGGTCACCGAGCGCTGCAAAACAGTGCTTGTTATCCCACAGGTGGTGAAAACAAATCACATAAGAATGATGGATGCTGCAAGCAACGGGGTACACTAGTCCACAAATCAAATCAAAGAGCTTATAGGGTAGCGTAAATCAAAATCTGCTTGTAAATATGCTCAGTGTTTTTGCAGTGAGTCCTGCCAAACAGCACATCTAGGTGTTTATCAGCAAGTCCCAACACTCGCCTACCCCCTCCTGTTTCCAACTGGAACCAGGGAAGGAAGAGACCTGGCTCTGAGTACAGAACTGGCCCCACGAATCTTTTGATAACCAGTTTTGCTACAGCTTCCTGGGAGAACCTTTGGTACTTGAACAGCTCCCTCCAATTACCCAATTCTAAAGGATGCCCAAGTCCTCTCTTCTCATTGCTTTGGAAGGATGCACACTGCATCAACTGTGAAGGACGCAGATGTCACTGCTGCATGTCAAAAAAGCTCCTCACCACCATGAGCCCAGACAGCACCGGCATCCTCAGAGCATCCTACCTTGTTGCCGCTGACATTTTTGAAGGCCCTGTGTATGTTGAGCAGGGTAAGATGATCCCCCTCACTGGAGATGAATTTCTTCCTGACGGATTGCACTTCATCCCGCTGGGCGGGGGGATTGTAGAGGACACTGTCCACTGACAGCAGCGACACAATGGTCAGGATCTCTTCTGTGCAGTGGAACTTGGGGGACAGGAGGATGGTCTGCAAATCACAGAACAAAACTGGTATTTGGCCAACCAAATCCGCTTCAGGTGGGCAGACTTTTCTGCTCACTGATGGCCCAGAAACTTTACCAAGCATTGTTTAGGACAGTTTCATAAACGGTTGGGCCTAGAGACAACTGTAAATCCTGCTATGGGCCTATGGATATGCATCCAGCTGGTATGAATTCGTAATTACGTAATTAAGTAAGGTTTAGGCCCTTCCTACAAAAGGTGGGCCATTTCCTCCTGGCTGCAGGAGATGCAACAACCTGCCGTGGAGCTGCAGCCTGTGTTGGTCAGCAACATGGGCCCACAAAGTACCTTTAACAGCAACTGCCTTGCTCTTTCCTGAGACTGGCCAATTCATATACAGTACCCATAAGGTGACTAAAATCAACTACAGCATCAGACACTTCATGAAACTGCTAAACAGTGCTACTAGCAATCCCAGAAATTGCAAGGAAATTAGCCTTGTTTCAGCTTTGGAGATGTCAGACAAAAGAAATTATCTTTTAAAAATCTCTCCGAATTAAACAACGAATGACAAGCAAACCAGCACAGCTGCTGCAAATAAAGCTGCGCTCTGTTAACGTATGGCAAGTATACTGGTACAGCTGCAGTTGCCTCTAATTCCAGACCTTGTTTGAGGAGCTTGAAAGAGAAATGCCAGTGGTACCAGGTAGAGTACATGAGATAAAAATTAGCTAATTTTTCTGTAGTTTTTACTTTGGAGAACTTTGGTTCCAGTGGAAAAGCTGCCATCTTCCTTCCCAGGGGCGTCAGGACAAGCAGATCTTCCTTTCGTTCCACAGCTCCCAGCAGCTCCAGCTGCTCAATCGCCGCTTGAATAGCGTCTGTCAAAACAATGATATTCAGGCTGTGAGGCCTCCTGGCTGGCACTGGCAGGGATGTGCAGGATCAGCTGGTACCACTCCGACATCTTTCCCCTGGCCAGAGGGACAAGTACTTTCTGTTTAGAGAAATAAGTGCCCCAACTGTGGTTTTATCTCCCTCTATCCATTAGAACAGTCACCTTTTCCACTTTAAGTAGAAAAATCAGAAAGAAAACTAAAGCTGTCATCTCTAGCTTCGAGCAGAGGCTGTGTGAGATTCTCTATGGCTTTCCTTGGCAGTCAAGACACACCCTTCATGTTCTTTATGACCCAAAACTGCTCCCTGCTCTGTTTGGAAGCTGGCCTCTCCAGCTCTCTTGCCATAACCACGGCTGCTCTCATGAGACTGAGCAAAAGCAATGAGCAGTGAATGAATCTGAGACTTCTGGACCACCAAAAGAAGATGCAGCAGAGACAGACTGCTTCTCTTTCACAGCCCTGACTTTCCATACTCCATTTTCTCTGTCTGGCCTGAAGACATTATTTTTAAGCAATTCCTCAGTGACTCACTTGTCATTTTTTTTCCAAGGCTGCCTTTGTAACCACTTACCAGGAGATGGTTTGGACATGAAGTCAAAGGTGAGCACATCAGGAATTCTCATGGCCAGGAGCTGAAGCATCACACTGGCCAGGTTACACCTGCATAGGCAGAAAAAGCAACTGAGATAATTAAAAAAATAAAATGAGAACTGTTTTTTTTTTTCTTTTCTTTGCCTATTGGCTGAGATAGAGCCCTCAGATCTGTGCTGCAACTTGACAGAGACTAGTCCAATGCTGGCCGGTGAAGCCTTACTTCCTGAACCAGGAAGGGCAAGAGGCAAGTCCAAGATTTGGAGGAGTCAAGAGAACTATTGCCCATGCATGTTCAGAGACTCAGAGCCCAACTGTCCAGCCTGAGGAAATGCTTTCTCGTTTTTCTGTTTAGTCTCCACAGTTCATTTTTCTTAAAAGTCAACTAGTCAGACTCTAGGTCCAGTTTTGCTGTTCAGCTCTTTACACAGCTCCATCTGTAACAGTACACAGAAGAGGTGCGGCAAAGAAGCACGATGGTATCAGGGTTCTGTCCTCACCTCTGTATCTCGGGTATTGTCATTTTGTCAAACTTCTCAAACTCATCCTCTGTGTACAGCCGGTAACAGACCCCACTGTCTTCTCGCCCTGCTCTCCCTGTTCGTTGCCAAGCCTGGGCCTTCGACACCCGCTGGACCGCCAACACTTCCAGACCGGTTTCTGTGTATGGAAAAGCATCGCTTCAGTCACTGTCTGTGTAATGCACAGCTCTGGAAAACATGTAGTGGTAATAATAAAAAAATCCCAGGGTCTGCCATTCAAATACTGCTCAGACTTCACTTGGTTTAGCACCCTGAAGCAAAGCCAACTATCACGCGCAGTGTCCACGAAGAGAAGATTCAGATTTGACAGATTTTTATCCCCACATGGCTGGTACTCAATAAAAAGCAACAAACCAAAAAACACCACCAAAAACCACACCTAAAACCTGGGATATTAATTTACGCAGCGCAGAGGGTGTTTTAAACCAGCGCTCTCAGTGGGGCTCACTGCCCCAAATAACTTCCACAAAACTGAAAACAATCTCCGCATCGCTCCTCAGAGCTCCTCACCAGGGCTGTACTTCTTCGCTTTGACCATGCCTGTGTCCACAACGAATTTTATTCCCGCGATGGTGATGGAGGTTTCTGCGATGTTGGTGGAGAGGATCACTTTGCGACAGCCCTGGCAGGAAGAGCAAACTAAAGCCAGTCAGAAGCTATTTTAGATTGGCTGCAATGAAGAAATGCTGCTACTTTTGGCCAGCACGGGCCGAACCTACACATCACTGCACTATGCTACGAACACATACCACGCTTGCTGTGCCAGCTCCCAGAAATTAAGATAATCTCCAGTTCCTAATACATATGCTTACACTTCTTGCAATGAAATACACTGCTCAGGACAGCTGTTATCAATACGTCTTTAAACCATCTTGAGTCCGTTTCAGGCACAAGCACAAGATCTGAATTCTTCTTTATCTGCTCAATAGGTACAGAAAGGCCCGAGGCAGCACAATTGCCTTTTTTACAGCCTTGCCAAATATGCCCAGTTTTTAGCTTTCTTAGTATTTGGCCCATTAACTGCTATAGCTTTTTTGTGATATGGATATAAAATTCCCACGAAATGGCGCAAATTCCAGTTCCTCTGACCTTTTCACTTCCTCTAATCCTTCCTTCTTTCTACGATCCTAGATGATTTATTGTATGGATCTGTCAACACCATCACAGTTGCATTGTCTTATATCACACTGGAACCATGCAGCCCAAAGTCAGTGGACAGTGGAAACTATTACTATAAGTACAGACTACTTTAACCCCTTAAATTCCACGTTTCTTTCAGACACTCATGCAAACAAACAAACTCATCCTGTTTACCCATCATTGCCTTACCTTGCGGGCAGCCTGAAAGACGCGGAGTTGTTGAGGGTAGGGCAGAGAAGCATAAAGAGTTATCACTATCATGCCTGGACAGCCATCAGGGAGATGCTTGGCAATGTCTCGACAGGTTTTGGCCATTGCTTCAATTTCTTCCTGACCAGTCAGAAACACCAGGATATCCTGAGAAGAGGGTGCTTCCTGGAGCCAGGGGAAAAAGCAAGTGAGAAGTTAAGATGGTTTAAATAGGGAGAGAGAGCTGAGATTGTAATGAGATGTTGTCCTGACAGCAAGTCAGCAAATCAGGTAAGGAAGAAAGACAAGACACACGTGGTGCAAGGTATGCAACAGCCTGAAGTTCCCAATGGATCCACCAGAGGTGAAGAAACTGCATTTTGCAGGATTGAGTCTTAGCAAGGTGGAGGAATTGCTTAAAGTCACATGTCTATTTCATGAAATAACTGTCCAGGACATGCAAACGAGAGAGCCAGCAGCACCCAGGTACAAGCCAGTAAAACAGAGAACTCAGGTGAGAGGAACATTTAGGTATTAGGTATGAACTGGTATCAGAGAGCTTTGCTTAGCAGTCTCCTTTCAACTCCAGCCTTGAGGTACAAGTCTCAAAATCCTACCAACAGCAGCATCTCCAAGGCATTAAATGCAGTTTAATTAAACGACATACCATCTGGCAGTTTCGCACTCAAACATTTAGTCACAAAATGCCTATAAGCTGTCGTTTTAATAGATGTCTACTCGCTGTGCAGTTACACTCCAACAGTAAATTAGAATCATTTTCACGCTACTGTTAGCTTCTGTCTGGCTTTCCCCTCACAAACTGAGGCTCTTTACGGTTGACCACTTCACTTTTGGAATAACACTGGCATTTGTCAACAACTCCCTTAAGCCAATCCAATTCACTAGCCCACCACACCCTCCAACTATCTGCTTTTCCCAGAGGACGCAGTGAGAACCTCAGGGACATCTCTGAGTTGGCAGCAGCAAGTTCAAGCCATCTCTTCTGCCACAGCAACCTGTGAGCACCCCTGACCAACAATCCGTGGCCCCAGGGAGGCACAAACCTCACAAGACTGCCATACCTGGTGGATTTGGAAGACTGACACCAGTGCTGCTTGGAGGTAATCACTCTGAGGCTGTTTGGTGTAGAAGATCTGAATGGGATGCTGCCTGCCTTCTAAATAGAGAACAGGAGCTCCATTGAAGTACTGGGAGAACTGGTCAACATCCATTGTAGCTGACATGATGATCACCTTCAATATGAGCATAAGATGGGTTAGCACTGCAGTTTCGATCCAGCAGGACATTTACCAGTCAGGACTAAAGTCAGCTTCCTAAGACTGCAAAAAGCACAGAGAGCTTGGGACAGAAGACAGTTATCTTTCCTTATTAAAGCCATCAGCTTTGGCATCACACAAGCGTAATGTGTCGGTATGACAAAATGAGCAAAGAGGTGCTAAAATTCTTTTCTGACATTTAATAAAGAGAGCTGAGTATCCACAAAGTTAGGTTGTAGAATGGTCTGTTGAACAAGACTGTGCTAGGACCCTACCAGTCCCCCTACATGACTTCCTCATCAAAATCAACATGCTTTCACACACTTCATCATGTACTCACATAAATTAATTACCTGTCCACCCTACACACATGTGATTTCCCTCCCCAGTGTGAGGATGTCATACAGTTGTCGTATCAGAGAGAGAGCTCCTCTGTCTGGGGTGCTCTCAGCAACAGCACCAAAACCTCCCCCAGCAATGCGTCTAGTCTGTAGCTCACACCCAAGGGGCTCTTATGAGAAAAGGCAACATGGAGATGACCAGATACCTTGTTCAGATGTGTCATACCAGGCCCACACATTGTAAGCTGGCCACCCTGAACTATTCAGATTTAAAGGGACTTTTTAGGAACAGAAAAACAGTCAAGGCTGGAATTTCAAACACTTTGGAAAACCCCAAGAGATGCTCATAGCACTCAGAGTCCAAGCCCCATCTCTGCCCTTCGTTGCCATCCTAGATGCACGCACTTTTAGTGGCAGTTTGCCCAGTTCTCTTCGTTTCTTTTGTGCACCTTTCACCACTCCAAAGAGTACATCAGTATGGATCGTCCTCTCGTGGGCTTCATCCAGGATGACGACGCTGTACTTCCGCAGCATAGGGTCTCCGATAGCTTCGCGAAGCAGCATTCCATCTGTTAAAAACTTGATTCTAGTTTCATCAGACGTGAGATCGTCAAAGCGTACGGTATAGCCAACCTACGGAAGCGATTGTTACAGAAAGCACAAGCACAAAGTTACGTGTGTTTCTCACTGCCATCGTACCACAAGGCATTCATAGAATCATAGAATGGTTAGGGCTGGAAGGGACCTTCAAAGGTCATCTAGTCCAACCCCCCTGCAAGGAACAGGGATATCTCCAACTAGATCAGGTTGCTCAGGGCCTCATCCAACCTGGCCTTGAACGTCTCCAGGGATGGAGCATCCACCACCTCTCTGGGCAACCTGTTCCAGTGTTCTACAACTCTCATTCTGGTCAATGCATCAGGCAGAGCCAACCAGAACTCCAAGGAGGCTCTGGAAAGCACAACAGTGTATGTGCAGTCTGTGAGCAGTTAATCTTGCAGATCTAATAACCCACCCAAAGGATGCTCTCGACATTGTATCCCAATTGGCTTTTACCCAACTAGAAGTTTGTCACAACTGCTCCAATTTTCCGTTCCTTCCTCCCCTGCTAGAAACTACTCCAGCTCTCCAAGGATTTTGTGTAGAGGAAGTCTTTCTCCTTCACTTTTCTCCCACAGACTGACAGAGCTGCACAGATTCAGCACTCTGCTCTCCTTGACACTGACTTTCAATACAGGGACCAACAGAAGAGAATGCAATATTTTTTGTTTTATTCATTAACCAGTATTTTTTCAAATGCAGGAACACAGATAATAATCGAGAAGTAAAACACCACAGAGACAGCATCAAAATGCCCCTCCTCCCTCCCCACCCCCCGAAGCCACAGAAGGAGGTAAACAGCCTTTTTTTTTTGCAGTTAGGCATATTTTTAAATGAAGACTACCTACTACTCCTGTGGCTGGTTTTTTCTGTCTTACCCATCAAGCCCTGATACAGCCCCATTGACACTGCAGTCCTAAACCAACTCTCTGAAGACTCTGTAAAGCAACCTACCAGTCTCCCCAGCTGTGTCTTCTTCTCATCCGAGACCCTGGTAGCTAAGGCTATAGCTGCTACTCTGCGAGGCTGGGTCACCGCAATGATGCCTTGGTGGCCAATTCGTGCTTCGTAGAGGTATTGAGGGATCTGAGTGGTCTTCCCTGAGCCCGTTTCTCCTAAGAAACATCAAGGGAACAGTTTTTCCCTTTTATAGCATCTTCAAATTAAAGGTCCCAACTCTTTTTTTTTTTATGTTAACTTTTGGCCATATTTCAGGATGGGGAGGCTGAAGGCAGGAAGAGGTTTGACAGCTTGCCCAAAGTCACCACAGCAGCAGCAGGACAGAGACAGAACCCAACACCTTGCTCCAGCTGCTAGGCCGCTCCTCTACAAAACTCCTTTCCCCAGGTAAGAAGATAATCATGCAGAGCACGGAACAGACACTGATTTGGTTTTAAGCGTATATCCAACACTATGCACTAGGAAAGTTCAAAGTGAGCCTGTGAGCAAATTAAAGCAAAGCTTTTGTCACAACAGCAAGCAGTGAGTTAAGGTTTGAGGCTCGCTTAGAGGAGCACTCAGGACACCAACAAGCCAGCAAGTCTTTCTCTGTGCCTTCCTGAAATCAGAGATGGTCCCTTCAGGCTCAGGTGAATGTCTCCTCCATCCATACAGCATCAGTACACAACATCAGAACCACTATCCTGTTTCGCCCCAGGTGTATTTCCAACACAAACTCTGTGTAGACCCCTCTACCAAAGATGGCAGTCAGCAAAAGTGTACAGACAGCTACCATCAACGCTGACCACGGCATCGGGAAGAAAAAGCTTACTTACTGGGCACAATATAACGTGGCACAAATCACAGACCGCCAGTGAAACCGTCTTGAAGCGCAATGTGAGTGGAAGAGCAGAGAATGTTTTCAATATCCCCATCATTTCCTGCACATTTTCTTACAGCTAAAACACACCTGTAACCCCAGTCAGATCCCCTTCAGCTTCCTACTGGTCTTTTACAAGAATTGCTCCACATGAAAGCGCGAGGCTCTGGAAAACAGAGCCCTGTACTCTCAATCCTTGCAGGACAGCAGCAGCACACTGGGGCAGTGAGGTGAGAACTGACATGAGGAGGAGGAAGGAGCATGAGAAATCCAGAAGGATGGTCATCAAGCAGAGAAGAATCGGAAAGCCAGGCTGGAAGCACTGCAGCTGCAGACCGCAAAAAGTGTGAATGAGCTTTTTAGCTCACTCCACAGCTGTAAAATTTTAAGTGGCGTATTATAGTGCAGTTTAGCGAGCAATAATGACAATCTCAGGCCTACACAGAGGAAAGCAGGCAAACGCAGTCATGTCTACCAGTTGTCACAACTGATGTATTTTTTTTTAAAGGTCACAAGAGTGAAACACAAAGCATTTTTCATTTAATTCTAATAAATGCTGAGTCTTTAGACTTCAGCTGGGAAGCTGTATATCTTCAGCTCCTGAAAGTCAGACAAAAAGCTTATTAGTTTGGACACAAAGGAAGCACAATAAAATTAGGGAATGCTCCTGAAAACGCAGCTGAGGAGACGCTTTTTCCAAAGAGCAGGGTTTTCCCACGCGGCTTTAAGCTGACTGAACTCCAGACGGACGGCGAAACACTTTGGTCTTCTCCTTAAATCTCAGTCACCAGCTGCCTTAACCAGTCAAACCCAAGAATAAAACCAGTACCAGTTTACCGCACTTCGGATTTACACCCGGACCATTTCCGGGCA